GTATAGTAGACATAAAATTAATATAGAGCCCACTAATAAGAAGCTTTAGTCAAAGTAGATCAAGAGAGATGGAATAAACTAGTTTTCCTTTGCAGTACATTCCCCTGCTTTAGTAACGGCCCAGCAAACTATTGACTAATTCATTGTACTGCAGTGCCTCCTGCAGGCAATAGCATGCAAATACACTGTTCTCTACTGGTGCCTGTAACAGCTGAATGCAAAAAATATGGTTTCTACTATATATAATTTGTAGCTGTTCTAACAATAATATTGTTGTATTAACTTGACAAACTTAGAGATTCTTCATTGCAATACATGGAAGATTTTCATTGTAGTAAATACAAATTTCCAAATCATATACAATATATAAAATAAAATCTATGTAGAAGTTAATGCATAGGCAGAAAATTACTTAATATTACACGTGATCACACATGATTGGATTCAATGGGCAGTTATTTGGGGTTTTTTCCAGTGCAGTAGTCCTACTTTTTCATTGGAAATTAATGATTTTAAAATACACAAACTGGAAATGAAACATTTCTTATATAAATTCTGGGTTTTTTCAAGTTTTTAGAAGCAATGTGCTGCCTGTTCAGCTTGCATCTAATTGACAATGGCAGTGGGCCCAGTGAACCAAATAAATATAGTACACCGATATAAGAGACGATGAAAAAAAAGTCTTTGCATAATTCAAAGATAAATAGACAGTGAGATCAGACTGAGCATACACTGAGGTGTTTAATAAAGTTGACAGTTTCTACTGTTTGGGACTTCACAGGAGAACAAATTCTATGAAAGAGTTTTTTACTTCATTTTATACAGAATAAGAGAGATAACCTAAATTACACATTAAAAGCCAATATTTTGTACTTTTGTGAAGAATACAAATTTTGTACAACATCTAGCATAGTATCTTAATTGTTTAATAAAAAGTTCACTTGAATATTTATGCTGAAAATAAAGGAACACATTCAAGGGAAATAAAATGTAGATTAACTTCAAATCTATTTTGATTCTGAAACAAATAATGTCATTATTGGCAACAAAGTCCAGCTTGTGCCGCCAAACGGTCTGAGCATTCAAACCGAAAACAGCTTCTTTAGTTAAGTGAACTATCAACTACAAACACTTACCAAACACGTAGTTCTGTTTATAAAAGCAGTGAAGCAAAGCAGTGTACTCTTGCACAGCAAAGTGAAGAAAGTCCTCGACAGAGGTTCATTGATTACCCTTTCCTTTCACATTCATCAGTTGTGCACAACTTGGACAGAGACCAAAAGAGCAAAGTGTATCGCAGTGCATTCGCCGTGCGTTTTCTTGCGTGTGTCCTATCTGAGATGAGGCAGGTCTGGTCATGTTTGCTTGAAATCTGCATTGTCTTTGTTTTACTGAGGGAAAGTAAAAGCGGTGTCATTTCTCTTTGGGATAAGGCATTTTCCTAACTGTGCATATAGATAGAGCAACTACAAAATTCCCTGATATGTTATCGAGTGCTAAAATATGTGCTCAACTTCGAGGTGATGCTGCCCAGACAGGCAGATGGTTTTCGTTGTAGTCTTTTATTATTGCTATTCTCACCAGCTGTGTTAAAACTACATTACATTATGGATTACTATACACCATGTGAGTATGTGGAAATTGACATAGGGTATCCAAATAAATAATTTAATGAAATGTATTAGACCTAACTTGTACTCCAGCAACTTCCTTCTGTGGCACTTTAGGAGGCTAACAGTCTTTAATGCTCGTCTTCCTAATGCACCGCAGACTAAACGTGACCTGTAATGACATCATATTCTGTATGTTTAATGTGAATCGGGGTTAACTGCATAGATCATTACAGACGTGAGCAACCATGGAGCTGTTGATGGGGGCAGCATAGGTCAGAAACCTCAGAAACGCACACAAGAAAAGCCATGGCGAAGACACAGCAACACTCGTCTTGTACAGCAAACTTCTCATACAAATGTGTGCCTTTCAGCAGTGAGATTGAAGTCAGTCAGTGTGTTTTATTATGATTTGGCTGCTGAATGATTCCTTTCCAGTGAGGATGAAGAAGAAAACAAGTCACAGCCCCTCCCCCTGCACACCATCTCCTGTCTTTACATGACCTCAACAGCTTCAGATTTGCACTGTTCCTCAGGCTGCACTACTCTAACGGGAAATGGAGATAAGATGAAGTTTGCGTAGCCAATTCATGACACACATGGGTGTTTTTTGCACGCAATTGTGACGGACAGTTCAAGCAGACTTACATATTTACAACTACACGTGGGAACAGGCATGACTGGTTTTGTACGAAGGTCAGCAGCCACTTCTGCCATGTCCATGTGTCTTCCTTTAATTGCATGAACCAATAGCACAATAGCGGAAATGGCTTGAGAGATGACGTGTCTTTCAATTGAGCTACACGCATTAACAATAGATTATTCCTCAGTGAGGGGCTTGGACCTTGGATTTGAATGGTGGCAGTGTATTCAGCAGCTGCTAACACAGGCCAGCACAATAGGTGAGAAGAAACCCTATTTCCCCTAGCCTTGTGATTATCCTTAAGAAATATGAAAATAGTGGAACTTCAACCTCACAGCATTGTTATTACAATGTCATCAGGACAAACAATCACCACTAAACCACTAAAAAGAGAGACAAAACAAATTAGCCATCTGGAACTAAACACATGGGAGTTTTATGTTGGCGATTCATTTTCAAAGAGACTAACATAATAGTAAATATTGACCAGTGAATGATCTACTTTTTTTTTCTTTTTCTTTAAGGGTGTACTCTTGTAAACTTGGCTGTAAACCACAAAAATATACTTTCCTTGAAAACGGTGATCATACAGTACATTCAGCATGTACTCACACCCTGGTAATATATATTAAAGTCGCTATTTACACAACAAAAGACGACGTTTGGCTCAAATGATCAATTACACAAACAGAACAGCAAATGTTCATGGCTTTCGATATCGATTCAAGATCTGGTTTACATGACTTTAAACTATATTAAAAGCACAATAACAAATAAGAACTGTGACGAAAGAAACGGTGCGTTTGAGTGAGTTGTTAGGAGAAATCAATGCAACTGTACAAAACAACACAAAAGAACAGCTTTGGCTTATATTACTGATGAACTGTTACACAAACGTGAACATGCTGACTTTCTCACCAGCTCAACTGGGCATTATCTTAATTGCACATTTACATACCCTAATCTTTTAAATTATAAAATGAATAGTTATTGTCATTATTGCAATAGATTCTGCTCCTATCTCATTTTTACCCCCGACATTTATGTTTCATGTATTCGCTAAAGTAGTCTCAACTGTTGCAACGATTTACTGTAGGATCAAAATACCTGTGTAACTTCGATAAAAAGGACCAGTGTGCTGGATGTTTGAGTATCCAACGGCAGGCGTATATTACAGCATTCACAAACATGTTTGAATTGGTGTGTAGTCAACTGTAATTGAATTTGTTTTTTACGTTTTGAAGGGGGGGATGTGTGGCTTATAATTAGAGCAGTATTTTCTTCCACGGAGTCGGTCATGTGGGACAAACGTGGACAAACCTTTCACGTTTCTACATTGGCGGCCTCGGAAGGGGAAAAGTGAGGGATCAATTTGCAACGCACACCATCGCAGCTAAATTCTACCAAATCCCCCACACTGGTCCTTTAAACTGATGCGCGCCTGATCCACTCAGTCAATAAATTAGGAGAGGCCACTTAATATAAAGGTCTTGTGTGATTACAGCATGATTTTAAAGACAGTTCTTGCAGTGAAATATCATATGCACGGGTCCTCAGCCTGAAAGCAACACAATTTTCTCTGACTGTTTGCAACTTGCAAGCACAACAGCAAAAACAGCAACTACATGTAAGTGTCTGACTAGACCAGTGACTAAAGTAATCTACCGCCTATTGTTTAACGATTTTCTTTGAACATCTTTCTTCTGCAGCGTCTCCTGAATTGCACCAAGTACCTGATACCACCTGTTTGTGCATATAATTCAGTCCACCTAGCTGAGTTTTTAATCTTATTTTATCAGTCTGAGAATTAACTTTAGATATGTCCTGACACGTCTTATTACATTACATCTCAGTCATACAAACTGAAGTGGAGTTGAATAATAGCATGACAATGATAGCTGTAAGGACCCTTGCTCTCTCTCTCTTTCTCTCTCTTTCCCTCACTCTCTCTTTTTCCCTCTTTCTCTCTCTTTTATCTCCATGTCTAACCCCTCCCTCTCTCTCTGACCGGCTGGTGACTGGAGGCTTGATCAGAGCTCTTTATGTCACCCATGTGTCCATGCGCAAGCGCTTGACCGATGGGCTCTCCCTGTCCTCCGAGCCAGCAGGGGGTCTGCCCAGCCCCAGCGGGGAGTGGAAGTCTGGCCGGTGGTCCTCGCGATCACTGCCATCATATGAGCTACAAGACGAGCTGAGGCTGTCGGCAGGTGAACGTCCCAGAACTTCCTGTCGGCTGGACCCTTGCTGCGGCTGCTGTGAGGGGAACCCAGACGGGGTGACGCGCTCCCGTGGCGGTGAGATAGGCTCAGACTTGATGTTTATGCTCTGGCTGGTGCTGATAGATAGGTTGGAACCCTGAGGTAGGTGACCTCCGCCACTGCAGCAAAGATAAGCGAGACATTTTGTTCTTGGTCAAAAACAACGAGCGAACAAATATGAACTGAAATAATGTGAAAAGCCAGGACTGTAGATGTGTGATTCAGTATGATATCACAGAGCACAGTGGGTGTTGCTTTTATGTGAGGGCGTCTGGAGAGTGTGCTTTTGTTTGTAAGTGTGTTACTCACACCAAAGAATTAAGAGCTGCTTGGCCCAGTTGATGCTGTTGCCATGCCGACATGGAGCCCAGCGAGAGCCCAGGAGAGCTGAAGCCCTGTAGGGAAGAGATCTCTGCACTGCTCAGGGAGTACTCTGTTAAAAAAAAAAAAAAAAAGCAACCACGCACACTGAGAACTCACTCGCATTTCAGTTACAACACTGTGTGCCACTGAGAAAAGAGCAGGAACCAACAGCGTGTTGTGCAAATAATCTCGGCCAAAAAGGTTGTTGTCAGTCTGGGAGGGGGGTGAGCGAGTCCAGACTCACCAGCAGGATTGTAGGAGGTGGTCATGCCTGAGTAGACCAGGCCCTGTGGGGGTAAGCTGGGGGTGGTGACAGACACGACTGGAGTAGCCAGCGGCTGGGTGGACTGGGAACTGCTTATCCTCTGAGTGTTCTGCAAAAAACACAAACAACAAAGAAAATACTTTAGCTCAAAACATGGCACTATAAAAATATCACACTTGGATGCTAAACAGTGCCAATAGTATCATTTAAAACACTTCATTTAGCGTCGTGTTACTCGACTTAGAGGCTGCGTGCCAAATCAGCCATATAATGCCAGGGGCAGGCTGCACTGAATACGACTTATTGATGAGTTTTCACCTCTGCCTAATGTTTTCAAAATGTAACTAAAGCATTTTCAGTTTAATTAAGCTGTAGTTACTGAGTAAAGCAAAATCCTTTCTTTGTTTGTCTTTTGATCCTTTTATTATTTTACCTGATAAATACTGCAGATGATTCAGTCATTTCGCTAAAGTAGCTCTTGGGCAAAGTTAAAAGTCCCTAATGTAAAGGCTACAAATGATCCAGTTTTTTTAATGACTATTTTTTTTCAAAGTGTTCCATATTCTGTACTAAAGGTCGTGTCAAGAATGTGCATGTAATAATAAAAGCTGCCACAAGGTGGCAGTGTAACTTCATTGCTGTAAATGTTCCGCTCTTTCTGATTTTTTATTGACTGTGTGCATTAAAAAGTTTATGAAAGTAGATTAAAAAATGAGGACACCTAACAATAAACTGATATATTTAGTCTGATTACCTACAGATTCGTTTATATTTAATATATACAGAAAAACGTTGAGAGAGCTTTGCAATAAATTTAGGTAGAATTCCGCTATTCAAAGTAGAAAGCTGACCGACGTCAGTACAGAATTGCTGATGTGCAATTAAAAGCACGACAAATACATTTTGTTAGTGTTATTAAAGAGTTAAGAACACTCGTTTTGGGAAAGCTCCACTCCACAAGAGTCCACCGCAAAAACAATCAGAGTGAGCCATTAAAGTGAGTCTGGAGATCAGTTTCACACCCGAATATTATGTATATGTATATATATGCGTATATGACACATATCAGCACCCAGAGTGACACACAGCAGAGCCCCAGTGGTTTTTAGTGCAGTGACTGGCATGCAGTCCGCAACAAAAATGCAGCTTGTTGTGGTCATGCAGTAAACTCTTCAGTGAGTTGCAGATCCACTAATGAAACACAGCAAAAGTTTAGAACAATACTATAAAATTCCCCCGTGTTTAATGTAACAAACATATGTGCAGCTGCCAGCAGTCGTGTTTGAAGCGCCATTGCATCATGATCTACAGTCGATGGCTTCCTCGCATTGTTCCAACACTCTCCAGCCAGATGACTTCACCGAGTATCTCGTAAGGTGATATCATTTAAGATGATGTAATCCTCTCTGTCTTAAAAAATATAAATGATTTATAATTTACTCATCACTCTTTGAGTTGTAAAACATGAAACTATGCGTAAAAGAATTTTAAAAAGTAATCACTGATCTGCTTTCTCCCCCTCTTCCTTTCTCTCGCTCTCTTTCTCTGTCACACACACACTTTCACACATAAACTCTGGTGGTATATGACTAACATTGACGTGTTGGGAATAGAGGAGCCAATTTAACAGGCCGAGGCAATTTTCACAGGCCAAACCCAAAGCATGCAGTGTTAATGTTTTTGTCGTTGTTGTTTTTGTTTTTCCATGTCTTGTTTCTTATCACTGGGAGATCTGAGAGCCAGTCTCCAGTGTGCGCGGTGCCTTCAGTCTAGCATCAGTGATCACCGGAAGCACGTTCACATTGCAGCCATTTGCCCAGGCATTTCTCAAAACTCACCAAATCCATTTCCTCCTCCTCAGACTGCCCTCAACAGAAGAAAAGAAGAGAGTTACAGAAAAGCAGCAGAGCGGCTGTGAGTCGCTCGGGGTGGGGGGAGGTGACAAGTGCAGGAATTTACAGTAAAGGGGACAATAATAAATATAAAAACTTCTGGTGACCAATCACTGGTAAATCCCGCTCTCTTTGAACAAAGCAGCTAAATTTGCTTTTTTTAAATGTAATGCAAATACATGCTGTCACCAAACCGTAGCACGTGTGGGTATGAAGCGCTGGTGCTCCGGTTTGTTGGGCTATAAAATTCCAGTCTTGTAAATAAAGAAGATGGAGCAGTCGGACGTCAGTGAAGCTTACACAAATGAGAGCTGACATTTGTGAGTGGCACTGAGATCAAATCATAATCACCAGAAATTACGAATGAAGCTTCTCCGCTGGTACCAATAATGGCTGCTTAGTACTGTGCACTTAAAAATCCCCCCTGTGCTGGGAGGAAGAACAAGAAGCCCATTTTCCATCTTTTCTGTGCTGTGGGACATACTGTGTCCACGCCGGGGCTCTTAATACCCACACTCAATCAATAGCGGTAGGAAGACACGACAAGGGCGACAAGATATTATCTGGCTCACACCCTGGGCCCCTGATTAAGTCTTCATCTACACTCTGTCACACTGAGATGTGATTAATTTAATACCATTATGGCCTAATGACAGGCTGTCTGCAGACCTGCCACAGCCCACGCCCTCAACAGCCTCTACCAGTCGAAAATACTTCGTAGGCTCAGACAGAACAGGACCTCCCACCCTGCACCTCTTGCAACACAACCTGTCCTACTCCTACGTATTCCACAAGCAGACACAGTATCACACAGTTGTTTAAACACTGCTCCAGGCCAGCTGAGGCTCAGCAAAGGAGGAGCAGCCACAGTAACCAGAGGTTTATTTACAAAACACATCGGTTTTCTGGAAAGGCTCCTGTTACTGACACCACAAACAACACACAGAGGTGAATCAGGGTATTTGCTTGCCACTGTCTTTAAATCCCGCCCCAACCCCCCTTTTACAGTTTTCTGAATGTCGATTCGTGACTCGGAGGGTCTGCTTAAACCTCATGTGTTTGCTACGATCAGGGCACCCTGAAGCTTTCTTCTTATTATTGTTTTTTTAGGCCTCAGAATGAATGTGAATAATGGAGGGAGGGTGCAGATCCATGGTTCGGTCCACACTGAAATAGAGGTGAATACATCTCAGACACTTACGCTACCACACTGAGCCCCACTTCTCAGATAAATAAAAGTCCTGAGTTCAAGTGTTCAAGTGAGGCGGAAACCTCAGCTGAACACCACGCTACGTTTTGTGATAACATCGAAAACATGTTTGGGCAAAATCCAGGCAAAGTGTTCTGCTACGAAGGGCTTGATAAAGACACCAAACAAAGCTCTGCTCTGCCCTGCAGCAGAGATATTTAAAGGTGCTTCAGCTAGTGATACTCGTGTGCAGTGGTGTGCTCTCTACTCACCAGCGGGGGCATCATCCCTTTGCTTGATGGAGGGATAACAACCCTCAGGTCTGGCTTGCGGCTTCCCATTCCCATGTTCCCTCCAGGGGGTGGCGGAGACTTGGTGGGCATGACTTTACCCAGGCCATTGCCACTGGCTGTGCTGAGGAGGCCTGGAGAGCCCCTGGGGTTAACAAAACCATTTCCTGCAGATGTGCACAGCAACAGAAACACATCATCAAACCATGCACTGTGACTGACAACACTCCCAGTCATCAACCAAACCTCTCGCGCTGTGTTGTTTTCCAGCTTGCTGCAGCATGCAGCGTTAAGTGTTTCCAACCCTCTGGGAAGTTTTAATAGACTGGGATAATTATCCTGCACATTTACAAAAATAAAATGTCCATTTCAAAATTGATGAGCCCTTTATTTTTACTGTGAATGATTACATCAAAGCCAATTCTTTGCATCTTGGGACGAGGAGCAGTTCACTGGCAAATGTACTGTGACTGCTTAAAAGAAATAGCTGAGGCCATTACAATTGAATAAGAACAATAAAATGTTGTTCTTTGTTGTTTTTCACTGTGCACACAAACAGCAGCATGTGCTAGACTATCCCCACACCATTCACACCTAGGCATTCATGATCATTAGTCATTTCCTTTTCTTGAGAACAATTCAACTAATTTTAGGAAGTTATTTTCTTGAGTTCCAACAACTTATTTTAGGAACTCCCTCTCGTTTTTCTCATTGGACAACCACCCTTGAAAAACATCGCTATATCCACTGGGTGTGGACCGATCGAAAATAAAAGAAGTAATCGTATTGAACCGATATTAAATATAAATCTTATAAGAAGGTGTTAAAGCTACAATAAATGCCACAATACAGAGAACGGCTTATAGTTATTATTATTATTATTAGGACTTTTTTTTAAAAGAAATATGTTTTTGGTAGTTTCTCAATTAAAATAAATCTTTCCGAAACAAAACTGAAAATTTCTAAATCACCATAAAGTGTCTGCATCCATTAAGCATTTTCTTTTTAAAACACGTTTCACATAAAGATGTGTTCTTCCCATTTCTATCATGCTACAGTACCTTATTTTGAACCACAAGACACTGTATGACTCATCTGCACAAGATCTGCAGTGAGATTCTGCAGATTTCACACAAAAGAGCTCTGATAAAAAAAAACGGACTGCTGAATTCTTATGAAAACAATAACCAAACAAAAGTAAGATTTCAGGTGCACTTGAAGCTTAGCCTCACTTTATTTGACGTAAGTCTGGAAAGAAAAACTATACTTTAAGAAAACCACACTCGGAAATCCTGAAAACAAAGGGAAGAAGGAATTAATGATATCTAGCACTGCATCAACAGATCAGTAACACTTCAACAAGTTGCTGATTTCTCTATTGTGTTCAGTTTATCCCAGTGAAACACAAAGTGTGTGCGCAACAAGTAGACTCTTACATAGGAACATAATGGAACAATAGCCCGTCTGACTACAGATAAGGCCAGCAACAATTCAAGGTCAAATAAACAGTTATGAAGTGCACAATAGTATCTCACCGCTGAATCAACAGTATATGCAAGCAGCTACTGCCATCAGCCTTCACTTTGATCATATAAGACTACGCTGCTGCAAGACAACAATGTTTACAGAATTAGCAGATTAAATGTCCAAAGCCCCAAAAATAGCGAGCCTGATTAAAAGCATGGAAGAAGTCATTCAGTGGGAATGAGGAGCAATGAGTGCAAATAGAATTTCATGTAAAGAAATGGATTTCAATTTGGCAATTTGGCAAATAAAGACCTCGCTGATAGCAATCAGTGAGCTCGAATATTTTACTTTGACAGAAGTCTGCCTTGAAACGCTGAGGAAAAACAACACGATGGAGATGACTAAAGGCCTTTTTCACATCAGAGATTTGTCTTGCAGCATTGGAGGCTAACCTTCGCAGCCAAAACTGTCTGACGTAACATTGTTTTCTAATAATGCTTTGCAGTAAAATATCAAAATGTAATCCTTGCTTTGGTTTAGTTTGTTTTTATTCCCTAATCATATCAAAAATCCGACTCAAAACGTATATCAAGTAATAATGTAATGCATCATCTGGTGACACACATATATATAGCCAAAAGAAGACATAAATGATTTTTCTTGGTTTAACATCAAATTTAACTTGCATATGTTTTTCTCAATTGCGTGCATAATGTATTGTTTTATTATGTAGCTCATTGATCTTCAGCTCAAATAGGCTGTTTAAATAAAGGATTCATTCATTCATAACTGATGTTTTAAAATGTGTCCACATTACAATAATGATTGTGGGTTAAATTTCCATGTATGCTTTATGTTTTCATGCACTTGCATATATATTTATACATTTATCTATATATATTTCATTATGTCTTTCTCATGATAATCTGCTTACTTTTATTAATCTGGTTTAACTG